CGACAGACAATACTCTAATTCTTGTCCGGTAGATGGCTAGACTACCCTGAGACTACCATAGCTGCTTCCAGGAAAATAATTAACCCAAACATATTCTACGTTACTCAACTTGTTATAGAACAAATTCTCCTAAAGCAATGGGTGTTCCCTTGGTTATGTTATATTAATTGCCTCGCAGTCACGTCACTGAATACTGGACATCGATGTCCTACCAGATAAACAGGAGAATATATGTACAGTATACCCAAGTACTGTACTCGTCTTCAGCCGAGTTCACCCACGACAATGACAAATCACAATGATTTACGTTACAATCCGGTTGCAATGACAATACTGCAGAAACCCAGTAAATAACCCTCAGAGCATGAACCCTCTAGAACACGACTCCACAATGATTTACTGAACTGCAAAACACCCCAGGTGATTGATCAACAATAGCAGCAATCACCATCAGTGACAACCTCTTTGCAATAACACACACAGCAGTGTGCACTAAATCAAACTATATTAGTACACTGTCCAACACTTACTGTTCTGTTGTAAATGACCCAACCCATGCTCTAAATTACCCCTTAGAACATAGGTCCACACGTTGCAATCACCACAGTAAATAACTTACAATAACACTGGGCTTCGTGACACTACGATCATATATATACAGTATATATATATAATTACTGCTGACACATGTAGCCTAAAGCTATCAAAATGTTAATGGAACACTAAGAAGATCTTGCACTCCTTAATTAACTGGGTGAATGATTATCGACCCCACGGATCGATAAACACTCGATTGATAAATCAGCCAAAGAAACATGTTGGAAAAAGAAGCTAAATAGTGTGCACCAAAAGTACAGTAGGGTGAGACTCACACCCTCAAAATTCCAGGCTGTATTTGATGATTTATCTGATATAGAAACTGCTGATAGTGACAGGGATTTAGATAGTGAATTCGTTGAAACAGAAACAGCAGATGCTAGCACTCCTCTGGGATTTGTACAATTATTTCTTATGCAAAATTTGATGAAATTTATAGTCTATAAGACTAACTTGTATGCTACCCAAAGCGATGCACCAACTGTGACCAACACAAGCAATAGATGGGAACCAGTGAGTATAAAAGAAATTGCCCAATTTTTGGGACTGACAATTTTGATGGGTATTTGCCAGTTGCCAAGAATTAAAATGTACAGGGGTACCTCAGTTTAAGAGTTTAATCCCTTCCTGGAGATAGCTCGTAACCCAAAAACTCGTAACCAGAAGCTAATTTCCCCATAAGAAATAATGGGACGTGAATTAATCCATTCCTGACTACCCAAAAACCTCACTTCAAACTAAATTTTATACCTAATTCATCAAAATCTACACTACAAAACTATGTTCAAGTTATTACTTACCCTTGCTGATGACGCTGTTGGCGTATGGAAGATGGCGAGGAGGGGAGAGGAAGAGAGGTGTTACTGTTTAGAAGGGGAGTCCCCTTCCATTATAACATCAGGCAGTGAGGACTTCTCTGGTGTGCACTCTAGCACATTTTGCCTACACTAGCACCTGCTTGTGGCTCACTTCTTGCTTGTCTTACTAAGAATCTGTCTAAAGACACTTGTTTTTCCCTACATTTTAACACTTGTCTGCAGTAAGACATCACATAGTCATTTAAAAAGTCAATGCAACGGCTTGCTACAGCTTTATCTGGGTGAGTTTTTTCAACAAAACTTTGCAATTCTTCTCATACTTCACACATTTTCTTAATGAGGAAGGAACATCCTCTACTCACAACTATTTTCTTAGGTTGAACCTTACCACTGGCTTTCTTGGGACTCATTGCGAGATATATAATAACAACTTTTATGTTCAAATGGCCAAATATCTAACAAAACACTGTAAATCCTTGTTTCAATACTTTTATGACTTCTAAATGATATGAATTGATTTCACAATATTTTCATATTTATAACAATAATGCCATTCCAAAAGACAATTCAGACAGACTAATCAAAGTTAGAACAGTCATGCAATATCTCGCACAGAAATTCAAAACATTATACATTCCTCAGAAAAATTTGAAGTTTGGATGAAAACTCAATGGCACGACGTGGCCGTCTAACTTTCAAGAATTATAATCCAAATAAACCTGATAAGTATGGAATAAAGCTCTACATGCTAGCTGAATCCCAGACTGGTTACATCTATGATTTTGAAGTGTATGCTTCAGGTCCAAGTCTTCAGGTCCATAATCTTCAGGTCCAAGTCTTCAGGTCCATAATTTTCAGGTCCATAATCCTCAGGTCCAAGTCTTCAGGTCCATAATCTTCAGGTCTAAGCAAAGAGTCAAATGCCAGTTGATAAAACAGTATTCTGATGTAAGGACAATACTTTTATAATTCTGTTGAAAGATAGGTGAATTGTTTCACTCATCACAACTTGCCACAATGCAGATACACAAGAAGTGGAACAAAGGAAATGAGTATGTAAACCTGACAGAACATCTTCATTGCAACAGGTCACTGTGAACAAACCAAACGCTATCTGTGACTCGATACACACATGAACGGTGTTGATCATTTTGACCAAATGGTCAAATATTATCAATTCACACGGAAGTCACAAGTGGATGAAGAAAATGACTTTCTACTTTATACAAATGGCTATCCATAATGCTTTTGTGTTGTACAATTACTACACAACAGATACAAAGAAACTCACATTACTCCAATTCTACGAAGTAGTCCTTTCGCCACTACTATACATTACTGTCACCCTAAGAATTGGCCTCTGTAAAATGATAACATCACACATGCTGCTGATGTACTTGACAATGAGAGCACATCTACTGGGGACAATGTTGCAACACCCGGACCATCAACACCCGGACCATCAGGTGTGAGGCGGCCACTATTCACTTCACCTCCAGTTGTACATTCATCATCTGACTCAAGACGAGAGTCACAATATCCCTAGTGGTGCTTCTGCTAGGAAAAAAACCCGTATTGTGGATAATCAAGAATGTCTGAACAGGAACTTGTGCCATTCCCTAGTAAAGATACAGAAGCGTCTGAGGTGTCATGTTTGCAAAGTGTCTAGTAAAAAGAGGGACACCAGGTATAAGTGCAAGTCTTGTGATGTGCCACTGTGTGCAGCACCATGCTACAGCAAATACCATTCACAAGAAACAATATTGGGATGATAAGCAGTAATGCTTGCCCACCATCCACTCTACCTATAAAACATGGGTTGAAACTCTTCAGGAAACGTTTTTCTGGAGCAGGTGGAGTGGATAAAACTAATGCTCAACCCATGTCATGATCCGCAAGCATTGGATTGAAAGTACAAAACATTTTTGTTTTTTATACATTTTATATTGTGGTTTATACTTTATCTTATTGTATTGGTAATATTGCTCTTAAATTTGCCCTTATATGCATATATCCCTTTAAAGCATTCCATTAGGAACAATTTGATACCAAAATGAGCGCTGTAACATGAAAATTGATGTTATCAACCAGAAAAATTACTAAACATTTGTGAGCGGGAAATGGGGGGTGTAGCGGGTGGGCGCTCACTCACGGGTAATTCATGGCCTGTTTTCATCTTGGCTGCAGGTGAAGTGCATGCAGGTTTTTTACATTATATGCATATACTCCTGTACTCCTGTAGAGTTTTCTATTAGGAACATATTGATACCAAAATGAAAGACCTAGGACGAGAATTGAGGTGACCAGAGTGAAAAGAGTATACACATTTTATTGCTCTTGTGCGCTCACGGGTAATGAGCTCTTACTTTCTCTGTTTGGTGCGGGTGGTATGCCGGGCTTTTGGACTTCATATGCATTTGCTCCTGTAGAGAATTCTGTTGCGAACACATTGATACCAAATTGAAAAACATAGGACGCAAATTGAGATGACAAAGGTGAAAAGAGTATACGTACACTTTTCAGTATTACCGCGCGCTCCTGTGGAATGCCCGGTGCACCTTGGGGTGGTCTGGCACTCGCTCGCCCAAAGCGCGAAAGTACAGTATTAAGATGTTTGCCAACCCAAACAAACTCAACTCCGCCGGTGGTCAAACGTCAGCCTTGTCTGACCTCTGGGCAGAATGGTAGGTCTCCCACGGGTGTTGCAGTCAGGTTACAGCTAGGGTCACAATTGTTGGTAGTGGCAAGGTCTGTTAGGTTTGTTTATAGACTAAGTCCATCTGGTGAGACAGCTGGGCTGAGATAAGTCAAAAGTGATGTTACTCCTGGCTGGTCAGTGGTGACACTGATGGTGATCCAGTGATGATGTTGATGCTTTGGTCAGGCAGTGTTATATATCTGTCTGCTGGCTCAGTTTGGACCAATGTTGCTAAATCATTTTTTGTAGGTATTGTGCATATGTAGCAGTTCTGTACTTCCTAATGGCACTGATATTGCTGCTACAATTCTAACAAATACACCAGAGACAGTGCAAGGTGAAAAAGAGAACTTTTCATGGTATGTGATAGTTGGAGTTTGTTTACTTTGAGGGCCACCCATAATGTTTGTTTACTGCATTTCTCCTGTTGGTTTCAGGATAGTTTCATGTTAGAGTTTTTAGGGTGTCATACAAGTGGATAGCTATCCTCTTGTTACTCTATTTTGTGACTGAATGTACTTGAACCAAACTCTTTCTCTCGGTATTGCACAGGATATGATCTGGATTTTGGAGGTGCTGTTTCACAGTGGATTGATACTTTCTTGAATGACTCCTTAGGACTGTATGTGATTTATCAAGGACCTTTAAAAGAATCACTGTGGCACTAGTGCCTTATGTCACCATACTTGACTGTGTGATCCTTTCCATACATGCAGTGGATTATATATGTACCTCAGATAATGGCAAAGCAATCAGCTCAGAAAGGCATTTTTCTTGAATTCAAAGGTTGACTTTTATATACTGTACTATTATCTTAAAGAAAATGCCACCTATCTTAATATAAATAGGAAATGGGGTGAATGACTACTGAATTTTATCATTCACAGGAAGGCCAAGAGTATAGTTCATCCAAAAAGAGAAGAAAAATCATTTACAAACTTGCAAGATATGGGTAAGTTGAGCAAGCGTTTTGTTTCTTAACCAAGAGACAAAATGTCAGTTGAATAATTTAGCAAACTACAGTACAGTACAGGTACTTAACCATATATCAGAATATTATTTTTAGATGTAAAAATATTTTAAATTATTGTTCTGAAAAACCTAGAGTTTGAAGGGGGTTGTAGACTTTTTTTTCTGCAGACCAGAAGATCTTCAAAGAGCAATTGAAGATGTGCGCTCTGGAATGGGAACTTTACGGGAAATTGCTGAGAGATGGGGTGTACCGCACTCCACTCTTTCTGTTAATGCACGAATAGCTGGTGTGTCCATCCAGCAGAGAAATTTGGACTACGACAGTGATACTCTTGAAGCAGCAAAGCAGGCTGTTAAAGGTTTGTAAAACTTGCTCTGAATTTTTTTTTACACAGGAACAGCTACTTGATTCCTGTTAGCAGGCTGATAGGTTTCCCTTCCCATAATTCATGGTAAGTCTTGCCCATTTGTTTCCCCTGGAGCATGACCTGCCAATTGGTTAAAATTCATAGGCTGTACTGTACCTAATTAATGCTGGTTGAACAGGCAAACACTTAAGGATTAGTACCGAGACAATTCTTCCTGGCCAGGACTGAAAATAAGTAGCATGGCGGTCTATGTCCATCAGTTTACAGCTGATGGACCTGGGTCAGTCCCTGAGTACAACAGAAATGGTTGGCCTCATTTCTTTTCACCTAATGCTTCTGTTTACCTAGCAGTAAAATAGTTACTTGGTAGATCGGCAATTGTGAGTTGCATTTCGTGGTAAGTCAACAGTTGGTTCATAGGGGACCTCAATAATCCAAAGTAAAGGGATCCTTTTCCCAACAATGGGAATCATATTTAAGATGTGGCTTTTTCCAAGGCATCCAGACCTACTGTAAGACCATGCATACTGATTGGAAATTGTCCTCACTGCATTGAGGATCTGCTACATTGTCAGCAGATCATTGTGATGCTTAAGTAAATGCATGATTTGGTCACAAATGTAAGCATTTATAGACTCCAGATACATGGGATCTCTGAGAAGCTTAAGTATAGGTATTGTACTTGATGAAAATGTGGTTCATCTTTCCTCATCTTAACCTCTACTACACAACTGCTTAACCCTTTAACAATCTGCTCACATCCTGTTTGTTCCTTAGGTCTCTTTGCTGGAGACCTCAGGAATAGGATGTGAGCCCCATGTGCCCGCGGGGGTTTTGAATCGTTCATTATACTGTACTTGAAAACACGTTTTCTTGGCAAGCTTATCACCCGTCAATTGAGATATCTCTGTGAGCATATAACCATGTACACTTGTCACATAACCATGTACACTTGTCACATAACCATGTACACTTGTCACATAACCATGTACACTTGTCACATAACCATGTACACTTGTCACATAACCATGTACACTTGTCATATAACCATGTACACTTGTCACATAACCATGTACACTTGTCACATAACCATGTACACTTGTCACATTACCATGTACACTTGTCACATAACCATGTACACTTGTCATATAACCATGTACACTTGTCATATAACCATGTACACTTGTCATATAACCATGTACACTTGTCACATAACCATGTACACTTGTCACATAACCATGTACACTTGTCATATAACCATGTACACTTGTCATATAACCAATGATGTACATTTCTGATACTATATTACAATAACTTGCAGCTGGATCAAGTTACATGAAGGTAGCACGTGAGTACAACATACCCAAGTCGGTGTTGTGGAGACGGTGTCAACGGGAAGGCATACTTCGGGAAGAGGCTCGGCGCTGTTACAACTATTCACAGGACGATCTCGGCCAGGCCCGAGATATGCTAATAAATGGCTGCTCACTCTCACAAATTGTCAAAGAAACAAAAGTTGGTTTGCTTATCACATTATTTTAAATATAATTGCTGTGGTGAGCCCTTATAGTACCCTGGAGCTTATCGGGCTAATGTATGTTATATTAGACCGGGAAATTAACTATGGAGTTCAGACCTACCAGGGACCATGAGCCAGAACCTGGCCCCTTCAGAGAGGTTGCAGGGAGCAATGGCCCTGGAAAAAACCCCTGTGGTTGGGGTTTTCCTTATCTGCCATCGACCGGGGTTAGGCACCCAGAAAGGTAGGCATAACAAAACAAATCCCACATAGTAAGAAACTAACAACAAAAACCGAACAGAGAGGTAGAACTCCCAATAATCCCAAGGAAACAAGCAAACGTAACACACTACTGCCGTGCTGCTCGTCCGCGGCACGCTCCCCCTCTCGGGGAGGGGAGGAGTGGACTCGGACCTTACCGCTCCGGCTGCATAGCACTCCAGTTCGTAAGCTAATGTCAACTGGGACAGACACTTCTCTGGCCTCAGTTTCCTAGGCGGTGTTTTCCTTCATGGCGCTTACTGTTGTGTTTTTGTGTTGTGCGGTGGCCAGATGTTCCTTATCAGTACCAGGGCTGCATGCACTTAGGGGCTTCCTTTCCTAAGTGCCCTGTGAGTACAGTACTGCCCCTGCGTGACAGGGTTATCTTCCCTGGGGCGTTTGGGAACCATTCCTTGAGATTCTTGCTGCTCGGCAGTTGCCTCGCCCTTGGGGCCAGCTGGGGCTTGGGGCACTTGTTTGGCCCTGGGTGGGGACTGGTATTGTGCTGGTTAGGGCATCAAGGTGTTGCGCAACCTGCTACCTACTCGGCAACCGGTTCCTGTTGCCTCTGGGGGACGGTGTACTTTTGCAGGATTTTTCTTTTGTTTTTTATTTTTATTTGGCTGGTGGGGGTCTGCCTAGTGTGGCTATAGTTCCACTGGTAGTGTTTGGTGGCCCTCTGCTAAGCCCCCGTGATTGTACACGTTGCAGGGATTTTCAGTGTTGGCATCTACCCCTTGTTCGTTTTGGGAGTTTACCGGTTAGCAACACCTTGCCCAGGCTTCCCGTAGCAGTTAGCCTATGGGCCCTGTTAAACTCTGTCAGGGCTCGGCGGACCATTGGATGTGTCTTCCGGGTTCCATCCCATTTTGTGCGGGTTTGTTGGTTGCTGTGCCCTTGTCTCAGGGTGACAGTCGTCTCATTTACCTTCGTCATGCTGCCTGTTGGGTCACTGACACCTTGACACGGAGTCTTGCAAGTTGTGTTCTCTGCTTGTTCTCTAGTACTCTCCTGATGTCATTACTGTTCAGAATACAGGCGGCATCCGCGTTGCAAGCTCGGTTTAGGTTGCTGCAATGCGCTAGGTTGGTTTCCCATCCGGATGCCCCGGGGCCGCCCCGTTTTGGTTATGTGCTGTTCGCCCCTTTCCTTCCCTGTTCCCCGCTCCTGACCATCTGCGGGTTTCAGGGTCGGGACGGGGTTTAGTTGGAGTCGAGACTCGGGGGGGGGGGGGTTTCGGGGGCTGCCCCGTTCAGGTTGGGGATGGAAATTTTCGAATCTGTTCCTCCTGCCAAGGCTTCTGGGTCTTACCAGCGGCCCTTTCTTTGCTGCCTTTTCCCTGGACTCTTCCTTTACTTTAGGGGCAGAGGGTGTGGAGGACAGCTCTGCCCTGGGGCTTCTGTTGCGGGTTCCCGGGGCTGTGGGGGATGCTCGCTAGCAGTTCTGGGGCTGTTTGCCCCTGCTGGGGTTTTCTGCTTCTGGGTGGGATTTTTTGTCCCTCTCGTGTGCTTACTTTCCACATTTGCTGGCATGTTTTGGATCTATTGCATCGGTCACGGCTCCTTGTTCTGGTGACCATTTTCTTTCTGCAGTTTACTTTCCCGCTTGGCCACCGGCGGTGCTGCGGTTTGTTTACCGGTGCCTGGGTGAGCGAGCTCACATTTTGAGTTAGTTTTTTCACCTCCTTCAGGGGTTTTATCTTCCTCTTGCCATGTAACACGGGTGCTCTGTTCTTACTCTTTTTAATCTACTTTTACATGTACCCTGTCCTTATTCTTTATTTACTTCTCAAACCAAGGGACCCCCAGAGCTATACTTGAGCCGACCCACGCCACGAGGTCTTAAACCGTTTGACCGGCTTTAGATTCTACAACCTTATGACGTGAAAACAGATTTCTAGCAAAACTCTAGGATCGCCTTGCGCTGCCACCACCAGACCATTACCACTGAGCAATGACCGAGGTCTAGATCGATCATGCTAATCAATAAACTTCGGGGCTTGATCCCCACTAGTAATATATGAATTTGGATTTAAAGTTAAGTGTGGAATTAATTAAAATCAAAGGGATAATGAATTCTTATTCGGTGTTAGAATGCGGCCCAACTCAACTCTGCCTCTTAGGCTACCCACGTGGTCCGGGACAATGTAAATAAATTACATAAAATGGAAATTAATAAAAAGACAATTTACTAGCTAAATGGTTTATTCAAAACTAAACAAAATCTAAATCAAAGCACTCCCTGGCTTAACACTTCCTACATGAGCCGGCAATGAGTTGAACTAATTCCCTATACCAAACTCTTATAGCAACTCTACCTTGGCGACCAGCTCGATGTTAGTGCTAGGTCTTGGGGCCAATGATGGAGGCCACCTGCCCGGGCCGCTCCTGGTACCACACTGTCTTTCCCACATGCTCCTCTACCCAGAAGCCAGAGCAGGGTATTCTTCCGCCTAGTTTACTAAGTTGCTAGCAAGGCTTAAGTTGAACAACTAATCTCTGTTGCACTGACTGACCCAGATTGGTTGAATTATTTTAACTGAAGTTAATTACACAAGCATTTTAGGGAAGGGCTATTTCCGATTACAAAATGGCTATTTGACCTTTGAGAAATAGTGGACGTGGCAACTCTGATGACCTGTGACCGCTGAGGTCACTCCGCTGCAAAGTCTAGTCCCGGCTCGTGACGTCACTGATGGTGACTTACTCATTATTCTAACAATCAGGATACTCTTGATACTATAAACAGGAATATTATACAATTTGAATGAAGATTAATCTCTCTAAATTACTGAATAATGTGGAATAATTCATTATACGGAATTGTGAACAAAGGCGGCAGTTATTTTCACCGCCAATCCCCCCCAGGGATGCGACCATGCTTGAGTCAGGTCCTTACACGTGGTTCCAACCTTCCCACTCTTTCATACAATTATTCATTTTAAAACAGCTTCAGTTGTTACAGCCGTTTCTTTGCTTTTCTGGGGTGTTTTGTCCATCTTCTGTTCCTTTGGGAACGCTTGGGTGTTGTTTTTTACATTGGTTTTTGTGTTTTCTGTTTATTTGGGTTTGGGCTCCGTGTCCCTGTCTGTTTATGCTTGCTTCCACACCTTGTCCCTCTGTTTTCAGTCCGTTTTGGCTGTTTTCCTGGGGGTTCTGTCTGGGTGCTGGGCTTTGCTCTTTCTGTGGTGTATTTCTGCCATCAAATGTGGAAGTATGAGTTCCCCCGGGTTTGATTCCGGGTTACTTTGGGTTCTTTGGCTTTGTTCCGGAGGTTTCTTCCTCTTAGGCCCCCTTTGTGGGTTCAGGGGGCTTTGTTACCTCGTGTGTGGCCCGGTTCTGCCTTCTGGGGTTCCAGGGGTCTTCCTGGCTTGCATGCTGATCTTTTGGGTTTGGCACGTGTTGTGGTCGTGCCGGCTCCTTGGGTCTTTGTTGTAGAGGTGGGTCTTTTGGTGCAGTTTTTGTGCTCTCTTGGTGCCTTCTTCGTCTGGCCTGCGCGGTGCTCTCTGCTCACCGGTCGGCGACTTTTCTCTTTCTTTATTTTTATTTTTTATTTTTTCATGTGTATGTATGCGTTTATGTGTGTGTGTTTATAAAAGTTATATATATATATATATTATAGAAGCCCTAAACCAGAAAATATAAATATATATATTATATATATATATATATATATATATATATATATATATATATATATATATATAATGTCGTACCTAGTAGCCAGAACGCACTTATCAGCCTACTATGCAAGGCCCGATTTGCCTAATAAGCCAAGTTTTCATGAATTAATATATTTTCTCAATTTTTTTTTTTCTTATGAAATGATAAAGCTACCCATTTCATAATGTATGAGGTCAATTTTTTTTTATTGGAGTTAAAATTAACGTAGATATATGACTGAACCTAACCAACCCTACCTAACCTAACCTATCTTTATAGGTTAGGTTAGGTTAGGTAGCCGAAAAAGTTAGGTTAGGTTAGGTTAGGTAGGTTAGGTAGTCGAAAAACAATTAATTCATGAAAACTTGGCTTATTAGGCAAATCGGGCCTTGCATAGTAGGCTGACAAGTGCGTTCTGGCTATTAGGTACGACATATATATATATATACTGTATATATATATATATACAGTGGTACCTCGGAATGCGATTGTCCCTGTATGCGAGGTTTTCGGAAGGCGAGCAGTATTTACTCCAAAAATTTGTCTCGGAAGGCGAGGGTTACTTCGGGACGCGAGTTTGTTGATACGCGTACAGGCCGACCTAGCGCGTGGTGGTTCGGCGATCGTCGCCCCTCTGCCCCGCCGCCCCTCAGTTTACCATTGTCTCGTGCTCAGTGACTACCCCCACATCAATTCTTCTCGCGGATTTTCAGTGTTTTGTTGGATTTTTGGTGATTTGTCTATACAATTTGTTATTATATATCTCACCATGGGTCCCAAGAAAGCCAGTGGTAAGGATAAAGGCCAGAAAGCTCATGTGAGGATGACAATAGAGGAGAAACAAGAGATCATTCGGAAGCATGAGAACGGTACACGTGTTGTTGAACTTTGTAGGCAGTACAACAAAGCCACATCAACAATATGCACTATACTTAAGAAGAAAAATAAGATTATGGGTGCTAAAGTGGCAAAAGGAGTAAGAACATTAACGGCACAAAGACCACAAATACTTGAAGAAGTGGAAAAGTTGTTATTAATTTGGATACACGACAAGGAGTTGAGGGGTGATAGTG